CCTTCCTTCCTTCCTTCCTTCCTTCCTTCCTTCCTTCCTTCCTTCCTTCCTTCCTTCCGTCCTTCCTTCCGTCCTGCCTTCCGTCTTTCCTTCCTTTTTGTTTTTTTGTCTTTTCTGAGACAAGGCTTTGTCATGCTGACCTCAAACTTGCTATGTAGCCCAGTGTAGGCCCCCAGAGTGCTGAGATTATAGGCAAGTACATTGCCAGTGTTTGTCTCTCTAAATCTGACTTATGTCACTTTCTATGACTATCTCCAGATGCATTCATTTTCATGCAAACAACAGACTTGTTCTTCTTTTGGCCTATTTTGCTAGTCCCCCATGAATAGATATCACTTGTTTCTGTATTCACCTGTTGGTAGACACCTGGGTTGATTTCATAACTGTTATTGTGAATAGTGCCGCCATAAACATGGATGTACGCTGGGTATGATGGTAAGCACCCGAAATCCCAGCACTCAGGGAGGCAGAAACAGGAGGAACTCTGTGAGTTCGAGCCCAGCCTGGTCTACAAAGCAAGTCCAACACAGCTAAGGCTACACAGAGAAACCCTATCTCAAAATACAAAACAACAACAACAACAACTAATGAATGTGCAAGTCTGTCTTGTGTGTTGACTTTCATACTGATTTCCAAAGTGGCTGGACCAGAAGCATATAGATTTTTTTTTTTCAGATTTCTTTTATTTGTATAGTTATTTTGTATGTATGAGTGTCTTACTTGTGTGTAAGTGTGTACACCGTGAACATCCCTGTTATAGTGGCAGCCAGAAGAGAACAGAACCGCCCCTGGTGGTTCTGAGCTGCCATGTGGGTACTGGGCACTGAACCCAGGTTCTCTGCAAGAGCAACATGCGTCTAAACCACTGAACCATCCCGCTAGCCCGTGGACCAGTAACATATAATAATTGCCTTTGAGAGATGGCTCAGTGGGTAAGGGCACTCAGTGTGCAGCCATGTGGAGCCAGCTTGAATTGCCAGTACCCAGAGAGCGGTAAGATGTAGCTTCCAGTGTTCCCTGCCATCCCAGTGTTACGGGATGTAGAGACAAGGAGATCGATGGCTGCCAGTCTAACCCCAGGTTCAGTGAGAGGCTTTGTGTCAAGGGAGTACAGACGGGAGTGAAGGGGTAGGACCCCTCATACCCTCCTCTCGCTGTCCCACACAGCACACATAGGTTCTCTTTCCCTCTGCATCCTTGCCAACATTATTGTTTATTTTCTTTTTAAAATTGTGTGTGTGGTATGTGTGTGTGGTGTGGTGTGGTGTGTGTGTGTGTGTGTGTGTGTGTGTGTGTTGGATGCACATAGGTGCACATGTGTGTTTTGCTGCCCTCGCCCATGAGAAACAGGTGTAGAGTCCAGAGGTTGACATCCAGATGTCTTTCCTCAACTGCTCTCCATCTTATTCCCTTGAGAAGCAGTCTCTCACTCAATCTGAAGCTCACCACTTTGGCTAGACTGGCTGCCCAGTCACCTCTAGGATCTCCCTGGCTCTGTCCCCTAACACTGGGGTTACAGTCATGACCTACCACACTTGCCTTTTGGTTCCAGGGAATACAAATTCAGGCCTCTGGTTTGGGCAGCCTGCACTTCACCCATTGAGCCATTTC